CCAACCCTCTAGTCTAGACACACACATAGACACACACACACACACACACACACACACACACGTTTAAGTTTCCATAGCAACCAGCTCCCATCCTGCAGTTATCTAGGGGCTTTCCAAAAATTGCTTCATTAACATAAACCCAGGTGTGGTTGAAGGGGACATTTTATGAGTAACAAAAGACACTTTTTTCACCTTTATCTGGAGCTATTTCAGGAACTAAGAACAAAACCCAAATAAAATCAAAAATGATCCTATAGCTCTAATCACTGAGGAAATTACAAGAGTTTTAGAAGCTGTAAGCCAGGAACCATAATGACCAATATATATATTTTTTTGTTATATCACAATATAATAATATTTCTCATGTGAAAGTTACTTATCTATCCTTGACCTGCTCTGAACAATAATTCTAAGAATGAGACTCTCTGTCTGGTTATAGTTCATGTTGCCTTAACTCGGAGCCACAGATACATTATGATCTTTCATTAAGAAGTTTGCTTTTAGTCATAAAGTGCTTTTCAATTAAAGAGTAAGCTGTAAAACCAGCTCATGAAGGCACATGTGGGATATGAGTACACTAGTGGAAAAAGCACAAGTCAATGCAATTTTGAAAGACTGAAAAAGTACATTATTAATCTGACTGAAATAACTGATGGGTTCCATTTAAAAATAAATACTCCTTTCCTATAGGATTAAGTAGTGAGTAAGCATGAGAACCCTGAAATTAGACTTGCCTAGGCCCAAATCACAACTCTTCTACTCACTGGTCATGTGACCTTTGGCTAGCTACTGGATTACAATGGGCCTCTGTTTTCTCATCTGTCAACAGAAAATAATACTGCCTATGTAATAGATAGCTATGGTGAATAAATAAGACAATGCATATAAAGCTAGTACACATTGAGCATCCGAAATCAGGTGCTCCAATTTTTCAGAACACTGACATGATGCTTATAGGAAATTCTCATTGGAGCATTTTAGACTTTTGAATTTGGAATGCTCAATGGGTAAGTAAGTATAGTGCAAATATTCAAAATCTGAAATCCAAAACACTTCTGGTCCCAAGCATTTTGGAAAACAGATATTCAACCTGCATTTAGCACACAGTGTGTACCTCATAAGTATTTATTCTTTATCATTTCCAAAGAAAATTTCACAAGTTAGTGGGACCAAACAATTCTGTCTTGGGGTGATAAAATAAATAAGGTTGGTTTTAGAAGAATCTGATTCAAAGTTTTGTAAAATCTTATTTTTAGGTTCTTGGTACGGTAGGGAGCAAAAAGGGGTGATTCCTTTCCTTCCTATCATAAGAGTAACAGCTGACACCTCTCCAACAAAAGCAAATTAACAAGAGAAAAGCATAACTAATTTATTTGATCATAGTTTTATGTGACACAGGAGCCTTCAGAATGAAGACCCAAAGATATAGGGGCAACTATTCCTTTACTAGTATTTTTATTTTTGATTTAGGGTCTCACTCTGTAGCTCAGGCTGGAGTGCAATGTCCTGATCATAGCTCACTGTAACCTGTAACTCCTGGGCTCAAGTGATGTTCCACCTCGGCCTCCCAAAATGCTGGGGTTATAGGTATGAGCCACCCGCTCTTGGCCCATTTTTATGCTTAGGTTCAATGAAGTATGGAAAGCTATGTAGAAATATGATTGGACAAAAGGGGTATGATCCAGTGCTAATAGGCTGAATGGGGAAACCCAGCAAGGCCTGTCTGTTCAGATTTCTTCTTGGCCTTTCTATATGACATTCCTTCCTCCCAGGTATGGGGTAGGACCCCCCTAGAATGAGGGTCTTAATTTCTTTATGGCCAGCGGTTAGCAAGAAAGAGAAAGGGAAGGGAAGGAGAAGATTAGAGTAAAATTTTTAGGCTTTCAGGCTGGTTTTGGGGAAAAGGTTCTGGTTTTTATGGTCCACCTCGGGCAAGAAGGATTCCAGTTTCTATGGCTTCCTTTAAGGGAGAATGAGAGTGAGAGACAGGAGGGCAGGAAAAAGCTAGACAGAGACTTTGTTTCTGAGGCTGCTTTTAAGTCCTTCACTTTGGGGTATCATTTTTAGCCCCAATAGACCACCCTCTCCTCTGGTACAAATTCAACTGCCATTTTGGGGTAAAGTCCACATTTGACAACATTATCTCTCAGGCAACTTTTTGGGCAAAAGACATTTTCTAGGGAAGGTTTCATTTTTCCCTGTCTTAGCATTTTTAATGGCATAGAGTCAAGGATTTCAAAACTATTGCTCAAGGTAGCATTTATCTTGCAGGTATTAATTCAGAAAGTGCTAATGGTTGCAACAGTGTAAACAGCTGGAACTTAAAACAACAACGTTTTCTTTTAGCTCAGTTTCTTCCCAGAAAGCTCAGAAATGGTCTGGGGAGCAGATGTGCACGGGGTGGATAGAGAATGCAGCGTAAAATCCTGCTGGTGGTTTTGGTTTAGAATGTAGATTTTACTTGCACTCTTACCAGGCAGGATCAACTGAAATCAAATGTAAAACAAAACAAGAAGAGCAGGTTGGTCTGAAAGAATAATCCCAGCATTGACATCATCAGGGTTTAAGCAGATACATATACATAATACATAAATTTAGTATGAATTATTTATGAGCTAAAGGGTTCAGGTTTTAGCGCCTGTAGAATAGTAAGAGTTATATTGAAAGTCAGAACCAATGCAAGAAATTGAGACATTTAAAAACTCATTATTTCAATATTTAATATCAGGTCCTGTGCAGGGTGTCGATAATGGACATAAAAGTGAATCAAGATACAGCCCTGCCCTGGAGAGGCTCCCAGACTCTGTAGTGAAGAGGCATGTAAAGAGACAAATGAGAGCATACCATAGTAAGTGCTGTGGTCACACAAGGAAGGGTTACACTTGCCTAGAAACTGTGGAGGCTTCATAGAGAAGGTGACTTTTAAATTATGCCTTCAGGCCGGGCCTGGTGGCTCATGCCTGTAATCCCAGCATTTTGGGAGGCCAAGGCGGGTGGATCACCTGAGGTCAGGAGTTTGAGACCAGCCTGGCCAACATGGTGAAAACCCATCCCTACTAAAAAAAAAAAAAAAAAAAAAAAAAAAAAAATTAGCTGGGCATGGTGGTGGGTGCCTGTTAATCCCAGCTACTCAGGAGGATGAGGCAGGCAGAACTGCTTGAACCTGGAAGGCGAAGGTTGCAGTGAGCGGAGTTCAGACAGAGTGAGACTCTGTCTCAGAAATAATTAATTAATTAATTAATTATGCCTTCAAGGAATAACTCAACCCAGCCTCAGTTTTCTTACAGCTAACCACAAAACAACAATGTAACATAATTGCTGTTATCATACAACCCACTAGAGGGGTTACAGATATTCTAAGTCTCACCACAACCCTAAAGGGTAGCTATATTCCAATAGACGGATGAGGAAACTGAAGTTCACAGCTAGCAATACAAGATTTAAACCCAGATCTATTTCATTCCAAATCCCTTACCACAGCCCCACACGGCCCAGAAATATCTACTTCTGCTCCTATCACCAACCTGTACATGGTTAACTTGTAATTACATAGAGTCTTTAGTGTTGGAACTACTTACTCTGGAAGTCCAATTAGAATGTCAAAATTCAGCCTAAAGAATTGGGTATAAAGTGAAAGGTCAAGACAGAGACTGTGTACCCAGTTCATCTAGCTCACAGTACCCTCTCCTTTCTGGAGATGTGCTGAACTTCAAGCACATTTACTTCAAAATGGTTTAGTCTGGTTCGTGTGTATGCGTGATTCCCTCTCCCATGAACTATGAACACCCTGAAGTCAGAGAATAAGCCTTGTACTTATTTAAGACCCTCACTCAAGTTGACTGATTGCTAATTCTCCCAGTCCTTTACAGAGAGCTTGCTAAGTGTGGATGTTGATGTACATTAGGTGGACTAAGATGAGATGACTAGATTTAAGGTTTAGATGCTACAAAATAAGAAAAAGTGAACTAAGCAGTGTAGCATAGCTTTCAGACTAGTGGCTTTCAAGCATTAATGTGCATGTGTATTACCTGCCTACACGTGAAAAACTACCCAGTTGATCCAATTAGAAGGCAGACACAGAGTAGCCAAAAGTATTGCAATAAAGCAACTCGGGGTGGACTCAACTTGCAGGGGATTCAGATCCCAGGTTTCCAAACCTTTTTGCTATTCCTGGTTCTTTTGCTTTCGATGGAGAGTAGTAAGTACAATAGGAGCTCTCATTTACTGACTACTTACAAAGTGCTTGGCACTGTTCTTGGTGATTTGAGCATATTAGCTAATTCTCACAGCACCCTGTACTACTATACCTATACTGATGATAAGGGGATGTGGGTCGGGGGGAGGGGGCTGGTAAAAAGAACAGTAAATTTCCTAAGTTTAAACTGGAAGAGCAGGGATTTAATCCTGGTTCACCTGAGTACAAAGTCTAAGGTTCAATGGTTCCTTGACACTGGATAGTAAGGGAACATTTCAGGGATGCCTAAGCTCGTGGTCAGGCGTCAACCGTACAAAGCCAGAAGTGTATTAGAGAGCCCTTGCAGAATAAGGCCCTCCACGGGAGGGTTGTAACCTCGGTACTTCTGTGCTTAAATTCAGGTAAGGTAAGAGTCTCACTGTGTTTAAATTCAGGTAAGGTAAGAGAATTGAAGAGGTAAAACTACCTTAGAGAGTATTGCTGCATCTACCCTGGTGACTTACAAGATACTTGAACATTTTTTTGTTTGTTTGTTTTTAAGCAAATTGCTAAAGTTAGCCTTTGCCTTTTTCCCCGAGACTCTCTAGGAATTTTTCCCACCTGCTGACTAGGAGGTAAGCCCCGACCTAAATTTTTGTCTTGTTCTAGGTTAATTAAGACTGGTGTTAGATTCAGCTCCTAAGGCCTAAGAGAATTTAAGATTGTCTTCTGGGAAGGACACCCAACAGCAGCACTGGAATTGGAAAAAAAGTGTAGGATTTTGCTGAGTGAGCAGGGGGAAAGCAATGTAAAGCCCAAGAGAATATCTTTTGAACAAATGTCCTTTTCATTTTGGTTTAGAAATAGAAACATGGTAAAAGGAGGCGACTGCTTTCTGAAGGCTTGTAGTATGAAAACAGGCCAACTGGTCAGCGACTAGTTGTCTATCAGTTTCTCTACTCACATACATCTGTATTCTCCAGACTGCCAGTGCAGAGCACTAGTTTGACTTTGGGTGCTCTTCAAATAGCTGGCATTGATAAGGCATTCCCAGAAGACTGTTACTCAGTAATCTTGTCTGTACATTTTTTCACTGGGAAGAGATTTTCCATACAGAGAGCTGCCAGCTTTCAAGACGTCAGAGTTTGCTTTTTCATCCTGAAATTGGGTAGGAAAACGGGGAGAAGAAAAGCACAGTTCAGATCAATCAATGAGGAAGAACCCCTCCCCCCATACTCGCTAAATAACAGGTGGTTTTGCTGTGCACCGTCAACTCCTTTATGCGGGAGCTGTAGGCGGGGCATTCCAACTGAGTCTCCCTGGAATCTGCCGCTTAGCCCGTCTTGCAGGGGCGGTGCAGTTGGGGATTCCGGCCTGAAAGGAGGCATGGTTGTCAAGGGGCTCAAGAGCTTCGTGATCCAAGGATATTGGGTTTTGCTTTTCTCCTTCTCCATCTCCCTCAGTGTATCCCACCGTCCCCTCCCCACCCTTCTTTTAGGAGGCCTTGGCTTCTCCTGTGGAGGGGTTATCTTCATCCTGACCCCGGCCTTCGGAGGACTTCCCAGAAGGGCTATTTTTAGTGGTGGCTGCTCCCCTCTAACTTACCCCGGGGGAGGAGCTGCGGTGGCTGAGTCGACGCTGCGCGCACAGCCGCCTCTGGTTTTCCGCGCATTGTTAGGGATGAGTGGTGGAGGTGGTATTAGACGCAGCCGAATCCCCCTACGCAGAGCCCGCCAGGTGGGCGTCTCGGGGTGGGAGTGGCTGCGTCGCAAAGCGGAGACAGGATTTCTCTCCCAGTCCTGGAGAAAGCCCCCGGCGGCGGGCGGCAGCCCTCGCTGGCTGGTCCCGGGCGCGGGGTGGTCTCTGCAGGGGAGGAAGTTCCCGGGCAGCGCGGCCTGCGTCACAGCGGGGCTGGCACCGCGGAGTCGACTCGGCGGGCGGTGGCGACCCCAGGGCCGGGCGCTGGGCGGCGCTGGCTGCCGCTGGCCCAGCTGCGCGCGGGGCGGTGCTGGAGGCGGCTCCGTCCGCGGCCGGGGAGGCGGAGGGGAGGAGGGCTTGCGGGGCTGGGGCGTTAGCTGCGTCCCGGCTGGAAGCCCGCGAAGAGAACGAGGAGGAGGGCGCCGCCGTGGCCGCGGCTGCAGTGCTCTGGCGCTACAAGCCATGAGCAGCGGTCCCGCGAGAGACCCCGCCGTCGCTGGCAGCCGCTGAGCCCGACCCCCAGGCAGCTCGCCGCTCCCTAGCACCCTCTGCAGCCGACACCCTCGCGCCCGGAGGTAAGGGCGGGGGATCCGCGGAGGGATGGAGAGGGGCAGCCCGCAGAGGGCCACCCGCTCGGTCCGCCGGGCGCGCCGCACCGGGACTCGCCCCGCCTCACTCGCGTCCCTGCCTCCCCCCGGCTCTCAGTCAGAATGTGGTTGCCCGCCCGGCGTGTGGTGCCGGGAACCATCCGCTACTGCGGCTCAGGAGCCCGCCAACCCCTACCCCACCCAATCCACGCTAGCCCCGGCGGCCGCGCGAGGACCCCAGCCTGGCGCCCAGCGCCGCGCGGTCGCGGCAGGTCGTGCAGACTGGGCACGGGGGCGGGGGGCGGGGGGCGGTCCGCGAGGGAAAATGCGTCCGTGGCCGGGGCGATCATCGTTCTTTCCTACCTCGAAAATCCCTGAGACCCCGGGGCCTGTGCTTTCCGGTCTGCCACCCCCCTGCCACCTCTGAACCCTTGAAGTTAGCACTTTTGGGGAGGTAGAGGAATTGGAAGGTTTCCCGAAGAAACGTGAGAGCACCGTGTGCTCACCTGCAGGACTGAAGGGGAGGGGGTTCAGCTCGATCGGGCGGGCCCCAGAAGCCAGGTGTCTAGGCCAGCGGTTGAGGCCAAGACCGCTGCCTTCATCCCACGCCGAGGCTCGCTAATCTTTCCCTTTCCAGCTGGTTCCACCAACGAGATGATTAGGGATGGAGTTAGCAACTCCGGAGCGTTAGGATGTGTTCTGTGGACGCGAATGCCTTTCTTTTCTCCCTCAGCCAGTTCTTCCCTCCCCAACCCCCCACGCCTGCCCGGTATACAGCAAAGTCCAAACAGTTTCTTCCGAACCTTGCATCCTCCGTAGTTTTGCGATAGCCGGACACCTAGCCCGCATCCTAATGCGGATATTTCGGAGTGTTACGGCCAAACTTGCCTTGGTTTCAAATTCCTTAAGCATGTTAAAGCCTCAGCAAACGTTAGGAAACATTTTCAGGTTCCCATCCTCCTTAAAGTAAAAAATAAGAACCAATCCATCTTTGTGGGAGTGCCGGCGTTTGGCACGGGGAGGTTTGAATTACCTCCATTTAAAGCAGCCTTTGAGGGAAGGAATAGGTAAAGGAAATTGCGGCCCTATTTAAGTCACATACTTCTTTCGCGGTAGTGTGAGAAATGTAGCCTTAACCAACAGTCACATTTCCCGACAGGTATGTGGTGGTTTCCCAAAGCATGGATGAGGCTTCAGCGTGGGCAGGTCATTAAGATGTCATTTAGACGAAAAAGGAGTAAAAGGGGAGTAGTCCTCTTGGTTAGCACAACGCTACAAAATCTCTCTGGCGAGAGCCAATCATTTTTATACATTTATACATTCTGTTTATTTTTAAATAATTTGTTGAAAACCCAAAACATGATCTAAACTGCACAAAACTTGCTCAATTCATAAACGATGTGTTAAGTGTGTAAACAAACATTAAATGTATACAGCTTTAATCTAGGATATTTGTATTTCTTATGACTTGCTTTAATAGGGAAGGCCAAGGCTATTGGTTTGCTTTACTCTGGAGTGATTAACTTAAATTCTGTCTTGGGGTCAGTTTGTTTCCTTTGAGGGGGATGTAGGGCAGTTTTGCAAAGATGGATATTTGCCATGGTTCACTTAATAGATTGGCCACAGACCGGACTCATCAACCCAAGAATTGTATCAGAGATACCAAGCATATTTAACAATTTTCTTATTAATAAAATCAAGCCTTTATTAATAGTACTCATCTATTATTTCTCAGATTAAGCACTTTAGTGAAATGTGTTTTTAAAAGGGAATGCTTTTAGTGAAAATAATGCGTTAGGAGCTGTAAGATAAATGAATGAAAATGTTGCACTTTATTTCCATGAAGTTTATCTTTTAAAAAATAATACAAAGTTAGAAATATGTTTAACTCCCAGGTGTTCAATTTTTACCAATTTGTTATGATTTTTAATAGTCTATAGTATTATTAAGTTATAGTCACCTATAACATTATAATAGAGCAAGCCCAAGTTTAAAATGAAATGAGGTGGAAACCATATTTATTTTGCCAAGAATTGTGTTAATGATTTAATATGGTACATTTCTATAACATAATGTAGCTGCATGCTAGATACCTAATACACATTATCTCAGGTTCTTACAATGAACCCCTAAGGTAGATGGTACCATCTACGTTTTACAAAAAAGGAAGTTCAGAGTTTCTGACTTGGCCAAAGACTATACAGCTAAGTTAGTGCCTGAATGAAGTCAAGCCTCCTTAGTCTTAATGATATACTTTTTTTTTTTTAATTACTCAGTGCTGCTTATTTTTTCTATATAAATTTTTTGTTAACTCACCATAATGACTATATGAGGAAACAGAGATTGTAAAGTTTTCTGCCCAGCATTTTCCGTATAACAGAATTCCAATTCTGAATCAAGGCCATCTGTTTCTAAAACCCATGTTCTTGCCACTGATTTCTATTAAATGACTGATCCAGAGCTTAACCTTAACAGACAATTTACTCCTGCCCATCAGCTATTATCACTGACATGACAATGATGGTCTCATGGGCTGTAACACACTCCTAAGATTTTATACTTCATTTCTGGAGTGTTGGCTGTATCTCCAATTCCAGATCACTCATGAAAGCATATTACAACTAATGAGGGTTACATAACCATGGAGGTATCCTTGAATCTACTTGATTCCTTTTGAACTATAAATCATTCTAGTTTGGCATGGAGTAAAGAGAATGGCCTCCAGAAAAAGCTGCTATCAAATTCGGACTCTACTGCGCAGTAGGAGTGCAAATGAGCTCAGATTATTCAACTTCTTTGAACCCTGGTTTCCTCTTGTATAATGAGGTTAATAAAGCCTCCTTAGCTGGATCACTGTACGGATTACTTGTAATAGTGCCTGTAAAGGACAGCTTCTGTCACCCAGTAGGTGCTCAGTAAAGATTAACACCAGTGTATCGTAGCACTGGTAGAAATTTCTGCTGTATTTCACTTTATGTATATTTTACATGCATGTAGTGATTAGTCATTGCTATCAGTGATTCACTCTTTATATGATTATACAAACGTGTAATCTGATTCTTAGCATCTTTAACTTTTGAATCACATCCTTTTTTGTTGTCTTGAGTCAGAAACATGTATTCACATTCTGTAGTTTTTCCTTTGCTCTTACTCTTTTATTTTATTTTATTTTATTTTTACTTTACTAACAATATGTCAATGGATCAGAATTTGTATTTTTTGGCAAACATACTTTCCTGTTTTCTGCCTCTCCTGATCTCTTAGCCCTCAGGGTACCATGACAATGCCAGTCTCTCCCCACCACACACCTCACCCTTGACCAAGTCTCCAACAGCTGCAATTCTGCATCTCGTACAAGGCTCAGCATAAAAGCTACCTCCCTCATGAGCCTGTCTGTTTCCCTCCAGATCCTTGTCAGTTCACTTATAATTCAGACAACACGTACGCCTCCAAAAGTGCTAGGATTACAGGCATGAGCCACTGCACCCAGCCCACTCCTAACGCTTTTTAAATTTTTTTAAAAAAATTGTTATTCTTCCAGGTAATACATTTGAAAGACTTTAAACTCTTTGATGTCAGGGATTTTTTAAAATTTCTTTATATTGTTGCTTGGGATAATACACAGATGGTTTCTATTTCCCGAATGAGAGACAAATCGGATATTCTTAGATCCTTACAGTAAGTAGGAAAGACACCCAAATTGTTAGTGGCACCTTCTTTGTTATCTTGAGACTTGTTCAACCCAGGCTTCTCCACTAGTTTAATTGGTATTACATTTGCTGGAAAGCTATCATTCTTAAACAAAGCCTTGGACATTAGGTACCATGTAAAATAGCTATGTTTCGTTAATAAATTGCTTCCATGGTAATATAACCTCATTAAGTTGCAAATATACTGAGCATGTCAACCGTATTTGAGTAGTTTGGTAGTTTAGATGGGTAATGGTCCAAATGTACTTCTTTAAGGATAAAATGTACTTGAGGGGAAGGAACACCTACCTCAGAGAAGAGGTTGAGATAATGAGCAAGGAGGATTTCAGACCACTTTCACTGAAAGTAAAACAGCATGGCACAGTGTGGAGGCTACAGCCAGAAGTGGCCTTCAGAGAGAGAATTAGCACAAGCAGAAGACCTACTCTAAATATGACTCACTATAAATATGAGGGGTAGAAAAATAAAATGGAAGAGGTAAAATAAATGAAGCATAACTGTAATACTTTATGACTGAGGCCTGCTAGATATTGGTCATTCTTGGACTGTAAAAGTAGAAAAGAGACTGTGGGGTCAAGATGGGCAAGAAAGAGAAACTAACGTCACCTTGGACATCTAGCGCAGCAACAGACTCCCACTTGCTCGAGGGCCAGCACAGAGCGAAGAGAGTGTAATCTCAGAACTTTGTTTGAAATACATAGTTTGGCAGGAATATATTGAAAATTTCCTAATGATTACAAGATAGAGAATGTCTAAGCTCTTTTCCAATATCAGGTATAAAACACAAAACCCCAGACTATCTACTTAGGAGTATAACATACCATCACAAATTTGAGGAATGAATTTAGGATCATTTTCTGGTATTGGATGGGTGTTCTTTTAAAATATGGTTGTAAGTCTAACATTTGGTGTATCTAACCGAATGTTAATTGATAGAGACAAAGTGATATGGGTTCAGAAAATAGAATTCAGAGAAGAAAAGGAAGAATTGGCAAAATCAAAAAATCAATTTTAAGAAAAATATGGTAAAGCTTAGGGAAGTAACTGAAAATGTTCCAGATTACCAAAGTATTTTGAGTCAAAGATATCCAGGAGAGCTATATGTTCTTTAAAGAACCTTTCTAAGGACTCAGAAGAATAAAAGCTCTTTCCATACCAGAAGATGTTGTGAAGGTAAAACAAGAAGGAAATTAGTTTGTCTAAA